ACTGAATACATTTTGTACAAAGATATGATAGCATAATTTGTACAAGGTCAAAATATGATAGCATATTTGTACAAGGTTAAAATATGATATATTGTACAAGGGTCAAAATAAATTAGCATATTTGTGTCAAAATAGATAGCATATTGTACAAGGTCAAAAATACTGATAGCATATTTGTACAAGGTCAAAATACTGATAGCATATTTGTACAAGGTCAAAATATAGCATTTTGTACAAGGTCAAAATACTGATAGCATATTTGTACAAGGTCAAAATACTGATCCATATTTGTACAGGTTAAAATACTGATGCATAGTTTGTACAAGGTGTAGTGTACATAGTGGATAGGTGTGTGTGCGTGTGTGTTGAAGTGGAGTGAGTGAGTGAGTGAGTGAGTGAGGAGTGATGAGTGAGTGAGTGAGTGGTGAGTGAGTGAGTGAGTGAGTGAGTGAGTGAGTGTGTGTGTGTGTGATGTGAGTGTGAGTGGGTGAGTGAGTGAGTGAGTGAGTGTGAGTGAGTGTGTGTGTGCATGTGTGTGTGTGTGTGCATTTATACTGTATATACAACACACACACACACACACACACACACACACACACACACACACACACACACACACACAACACACACACACACAAGCTGCATGCATACATTCATACATATGGAATAAAAAAAGATATACATCAGTATCCTCAATTACGATATATAATATTCAACACGTGACCAACGGTTTAATGTCGAATCAAGTGTCAATGAATGGTTTCAAAATTATTAGTAATTCTAGTTTTGAAATGTAACAAATGAGAAGCGGAAATGAAATTAATGACAATGATACAATGAAGGTAAAACATCCAGTAAAAAAGTGATGAAGATAGTCATTCAATGAAAAACATGATAATAACGGTAATTAATACGATAAAAAGAACAACAATAACATGAATAACAATAAATATCACATCGACTCTCATCCATTGTTACATCAACTCCTTCATTCGTCCAAAAAATAATGTAAGAATGACAAAGATTCTTTAATAACAATTTGGCGTCTTAATCTTCATCGCATTTCGACAAATCATGAAATACATTTTCCACGCGACGCACATTCCCGGGCGGAAATATTAGCGACAACGCCAATAACGCCAAAATAAAATGACGCTAATCTATGGCCTATTTCGTAAGAGTGATTTTTGCGAAGGAAGTTTTGCCTTGGATGTTCCGCGATAATTTTTCCGGCGGTTTTCTGTCATCGACCTTCAGTACCATGATGTGGCGAGTTTGTTGCAGACAGACAGACAGACTTGCAGAAATAGTTACGTGATTATGGTTGGCGTATAGAGAGACACGCATATACGCGAACATAGGTACATGTACGGAAACGCACATACACACGCACGCATTCACACACGCACACATACACTTTTACCCCCTCCCCCTACACACATACACCTAAATCCCCTAATTCCTCCACACACACAACACGCACACACACGCACACCTTACCCCCCCCCCCTCCAACACACACACACCTAAATCCCCCTAACTCCCCCCCACACAACGCAAACACACACACACACACACACACACACCCACACACACACACACTTAACCCCCCCCCCCCCACACACACACACACTTCCTGCATTGCGGAGGCCACGTGACATCACAGCCTATAACTTCCTCCAAAAACTTCGTGACTGCCGCCTCGCATTCAGGCTTTTCCTACGTCACGCCTCTGAAGTTTCTCCCAGGTGGATTTCCTTCAAGATCGCAGGACTTCCTTATAAGGTTTTCGCCAAGGAAAGATAAGGAAGGGCAACTACGGCCGGTTCGCATTGGAATCATTGTGATGGCAAAGTGTTTACTTTTTCGGTCACCAGATGGCGTTGGGTTGTTTATGAGCGATACTTCTGTTGATTTTCTAGATTTTTTTATTATTTTTTTGTTGTTGTTTATTTTTTGTGTGTGAAATTTTTCCCAGTCACACCCTTAATATATATATATTTCTAGAACTCTAAACAAAGAAAATATAACGGCCATGACTTCAAGAGGGAGAACACGTAGTCCTAACCATCTCACGTTCTATTTTTATTACGTAATAGATGATAAATTGCAAGGTCTTCTGTCAGCTGTTCTGGAAGGAGTGCAAGACCGTCGTGATTTGTGCAAATTCCACTTCCACCTTTTTCCATGTTTGCTTGTGTTTAATCATGATGAATGAAATAATAATATATATATAATCTCTTTCTGTCTCGCCTCTCTTCTCCCTTTCTCTCTCTCTCCCTGATTCTTTCAACACCACACACACACACACACACACACACACACACACGCACAGCACACACACGCACACACACACACACACACACACACACACACACACACACACACAACACACACACACACACAACACACCATTTCACCACACGCACGCAAAAACACACATGTAGGTATGTTATGTAGTATATATGTGCATATAAACAAACATACACTTTCATACTTA